TTTGCCATATAACTTCAACATCCCAATCTGGTGATTGGTGTCACAACAAGTGGTACCAATCCTAACACTTTTATATGTATCCCATATTATTTGATGAAATACCCATTCTTATCACTTGCCTAGATTTTATCTTCTCTTTTATACTTTGTGCGTAAATGCAGGATCAATCTCTTTTATAAAATGCAGGATTTTATCTTCTCTTTTATATTTTGCGCGTAAATGTTTTTAATGGTACACTGCGAGAAGACTTTATTGTAATTTTTATGTAGCAGGAAATATATGCTCGAAAAGCTGGAAAAGAGAACAAAGAAGGATTTTCGTTTGGTTCTAAAACAGTTATGATTTTTAAAGAAATTTTTTGGAACTAAGCGGCTAAGGTTTCATAAAGGCCTCAAACAAAATGTCATGAGAATTGTTTAGGGGCCGTTCCCTTTCCCGTTTTTATCTCGTTTTCTGTTTTCGATTTTTCAAAACGGTGAAAACACGTTTACTTACCTATTTCCAAAAAACGAATTTCCAAAAACGAGTTTAAAATTTACAAAGAAAACCAAAAATGTCAAAAATGTCGTTTTGGGTGTTTTCAGTTAAAATCAAGCCAAAATTTTCAAAACGCGTTTTGACTGTTTTCAATTACGTCACCAATAAAAACCACTGCCATCACCACCTGCACCACACCGCCTGCACGTCGCGGCCGCACCACCAAAACCACCGTCTGCGACGTCGCGACCCAAAACCACCTCCACAACCGAAGAAAAAGAAGAAGCAAGTGGTTTTTGTTGGTGGAGACCCAAAACCACCGCCACCGACCCAAAAGCACCTCTACCGCTACACCCAACACGACACAACCCAAAACCACACAATCATCACTACGCAGCATCCAACCAACAGTAGAAATGAGGGGAAGAAGAGAGAGACGAGGCCGCATCCAACGAACGTCGCCACACCCATCAGCAGAAGAAGCCGGTCTTCGACGTCGGTAGCCTTGCGAGGAAGGGGAGAGAGAAGAGAGAGAACAACTTTTTCAATTTTTCGTTTTTGAAAATAATTTTTCAAAATGACAAAAAAAACACATTTTCAACAATCTCTAAAGGGATACTCAAAACACAAAACTCAAAATGAATTCAAAACTCAAAACCAAAAACTAAAACACAAAGAAAACAACCCCTTATTTTTTGTTTTTAGTTCTTTTCACCTAAGAACCATACTTGTAACTTTGAACACTCTCCGATACGTACCCCTCCGAGAGTATCCAAACTTGGATAACTTTGAACACTCTCCGATACATACAAATACGTAATTTTTAATTATTTTATATTTTTCAATACGTATCAGACATCTTAGGGCATGTGAAGAATTCTATTGATTTTTAACTTTTTTAAGATTCATTATATTATTTTTGGCAATAGGTTGTTTTTTCACTTAATAGATAGCTATTGTTATTATCAATGACTTATTTAAACCGGATAATATTTATTAATTAACAGTTTCAAATAAAGATATCGTTTACTACATAATTTACACTTATTATTGGAATTACGTATTTGAATCCGTGCTTCCTAGCTTTCCACAACAGAGCTCAGGCTATCCTGTAGGCAGTGATCTTAATTACAGAAATAGAACATAAGAGAAAACCTTGGACTTCAGACAATTAGTGAAACAAATCCTTGGGATACAAGATATTTTGTATCATTGACTGGTCCGGCAGTGTATTTACAAAACAAATCCTTGGGAGAGACATTACCAGGATCCAGCGTTCACATCAACTGCCATATTGTTTGGAATATGGCAGTTCACATAAACTGCCATATTGTTTGGAATGCATAAACAGAATTAGTTGCAGTTGTTCTGAAAAGCTATGTTGGTAGCTCTTCTGAATTATTGGCAGGAAAGAAACAAACTTGGTAGAAAGCCTGACATCAGACACTGTCTTCCCCTTCATCCTCGATATCTTCAATTCCAACCCAACGAGTAAAAGCGAAAAGAAACTCCTTGAAGTTCACCATTCCATTTCTATCCCAGTCCATCTCTTCTGCACAAACAGAAACAAAGGCTATATGCACCAAAATTTGTATTCCCAAATAATCATATCAGAAACAAAATCTGCAGGTTTTGATCCGCTGGCTTCTCAGCTTCTCAACAATCAACAATGAGCTATAAGACATTTGTTACGTATTCTAGTGCAAATGGTACGAGCACTTAGGACAAACGAGAAAAATGTTCAACGAATTTGACTCGATAAAATCCTGTAAGATAATTAATCCTGAATATTGGTTACTGCATTTATTGTAATGTGTGCATGAGAGAGAGAAAGTACTGACCAAATCTTTTCACGGCTATTCTCCCAGAAGATCGTTCCCCTGCAGCAGTTTCATTTATTGCATCCACCATCTCATTCTTGCTCACATAACCATCCTTGTTTTTGTCCAAAAACACAAATGCATCGACTAACGTCTCAAATGTAGCTTCAAGGTTTGGCATTCCCATACGAGATATCTATCAAAGTCAAGTAAAACAACTGTTCTTTTGTTTTTTTTTTTTAGGGGGAGGGAGATACCAACATGAATGAACCCTTGACCTCTGTTGTGGAAATATCCTTAACCAACAATCCTTGGTGTTTACAGTTGGTAGGCAAGACAAAATTCAGTCTTTGTAAGGGTCAGTCAGGTAATACAGACCAGAACTATAACATGCAAAATGCAACCAAAAAAGAAGCAATTGTATCAAAATTGTATTTTGATACGTCTGTAATGGATAAACGTTAAAAGAACTTTAAGCATGTTTCACTTCTATTGATGGTTAAGAAAAAAAAAAACCAATGCAAAGATAGTTCTCCACACAGATTTACTTACTGGCTTCCTGAGCAATAGATTTGCAGCGCGAGATAGATAGGCTGCATCATTTTGATGACTTGACCACACTTGACTTGAAGATGATAAACGAGCCAAAAAAGTAGTGTGTACAGGAAGAAGAGAGCAGTTGTAAAGCCTGAATTCACAACTGTCCGTAAGGTTAGATGATATTTTTTCCCTTTGGGTACGTGCAAAGTGCAAGTAATTTGCATAATTGATATGTGACACTATATCATATGAATTGTAACATGACCCCCAAACAGGAAAGGCGGAATCATAATTAAAGACAACCGAGTCAATGTGACTCATTTTTTAAAACAGTATTCAGGATACAGCATGCTGGGCAGTCAGATCATCCTTCAGAAAATAGACTAGGCAGTAATGAAATGTAACATGACCCACAAATATGAAAGGCACATAATTAAACACAACCAGGTGAATGTGACTCATTTCATAAATCAGTAATCAGGATACAGCATGCAGGGTAGTTGGATCATCCTTCAGAAGGTAGACAAGGCAAAGAAGAACAATAAATTCATTGAATTTCATTCCCATGTCCTCATTAATATCACATGCCTCAAAGAGATCATCTATTTCCTCGTCTGTGAAACTAATCTCCAGCTTATGAAAGCAGTTCTTCAGCTCTTGTGGATCTATTGCACCATTCCCATCCTCATCTGCAAAGACAGACAAGCACTTTTCATTTTTATTATGGAATCAATAGAAGAGATTGAAGATCCAGCACCTGAAATCACCATTCAAATGTTGAATTGCTATGGTGAAGATTGTTTGAAAATAATGAATGATGGCACAACCTAGATGAAAAAATACTTTTCTAGAAAGGAAATAGCTTTAAATTTCTTTAACACGTTGATCCGTTCTGACATATCTACATAATGAACTTTGGGATGAACACATTATGTTGAAAATGTTCAGACTGTTTTGCTTGCTAATTTGATGCCTAGCACAAAGACCCTTGGTCATTAGCTTACAAATATGTACGACTCAAATGATTACCAACCAAATTCCTCAAATGTAGCTTTGCATTTTCTTAAGCTTTCATCGATTCTGGGAAATTTTAAGATAATGCTGTCAAATGATTTAATGGAACTCCCTGCAGTTTCTCTCCTCTGCATTGCTTCAGTTATTTTAGTCTCGAGCTTTGTCTCTGGTACTGAAGCCTTTGGAGAGTCGTCCTTACCGAGCACCCCTCCCATTTTCAATTACCAAATAGGAAGCAGAGATTAAGTTATAGACCCTGCAAAAACATGCAATGGAAGGAATTAATAAAAATTCAACTAACCAGCGAGAGCCGAGCAGAAGATAATGAGAGCACGTATGCAACTAACAAGGTACAAAGTCTTCTAAAGAAAACCAAGAAAGATCAAACTATGGCAAATTATTTGGCTGCAGCGGTGCCTTGGCTCCATGGCCACCCCTATCACCCCCACAGCAACGGAGTACCAACACAAACCCTCCTCAATCAATCTAGAAGGCTATTAATGGCACTGTATAAGCCCATATCATTTCAAACTAAACCTTTGAGACTAAAATATCTAATTGCACTGTGAAAGCCCACATCATTTCAAACTAAACTTTCGAGACTTAAATATCTAATCACAGAAATTTAATGGTTTGGGATTCTCTCTCAGCCTCTGCTACAAATACGCAAAGTTTCTTTTCATTTGCAAATCGCAATTGCAGAATCTTACTGTTATTCCACACTGCTATACGTTATAATCCAAAATACAGCTGAGACATAGATGGTTAATCACAAAATATGTTTTTCTCACCCAAGTAAGTTTTTAGCATGGAGAGCCTCAACAAAGTCAATATTTTCCTAGCTCTATAAAAGAGCTCGATCAAACATGTTTTAAGTTAATTTTCCTCAGTTTTACCAGCTATCAGACAAATAAACGACCATTTTTAGTTAGTTAGAATAAGAATCTAGCAATAACCCTGTTTAGGACTGTAATCAAGACTTCAAGATGTTCTTACAGAATCACAAAACCCAAATATTTTATGAAATATCACGTAAAGAGATAACCTTGGGCTTAAATCGATGAATCCTTATCCAAATAGAAATAAGACTCTAATTGCTCTGCAGGCTGCACAAGATCCCCAAAAGTAACACCCTTTTGCTAAAGAAACTTCTCTCTTGAGAGTTTAAGCTTAATCTCCAAGACACTTTTTTTCGAGAGAAGCAATTGGCGGACAGAGCATGCTTGACCAAAATGTGAAGCAGTGAATATGGTGGGTTGGTGGGGGTGTTTAACAACTTCTTTATTCATTTTGGTCTACTAATTTCTAATGTGCATTTTGCTCCAAGATTCGTTCTGTGCCCACCACAATTTGTCGTGCCGCACGATTTTAGGCGTTTGTGCGTGGAGCACTCGCTATACAGTCTCTTCAATGCACGTGATTGTTGACTAATTTTCAAAATTTGACGTGCCCATAGAAAAATTGGGAACACCCTTCGCAAAAATCACCCACGATCTCTCTCCCTCTAGAGAATAAACTCAGCCACTTCAGAGGTTCTCAATTAACTTCACTACCTGCGATGCTATAATTTTTACGACCGATTTCCCCATTATTCCTTCTGAAAGGAAATAATTTGTGCCCATTAATTTTCACTGAATTCATCAAATTGTTGAGGAGAGTTTGCCTATACTATAAGCCGAATTAGTAATCACGCATATTTG